AGGCGGAGGCAGCAGTCAGGCAGCCGCCGCAAATTGCCAGCCAGGTGCGCAGGCGCAGTCACAGCCGCAGTCGCGAGAAGCTGGCCGAGGAGCGGCGGCGGGGGCGGCCGGCAACGACACGTAGTCGCAGCCACAGTCGCAGTCGCAGTCCCTCACGACGCCGACGTCGACGCACACGCAGTCCGCGCGTCAGCCGCAGCGTGAGTCCAGTGCGACGGCGTTCCAGTTCCTTGGAGCGGCGGCGCGTCGAGCGCCAGAAACGGCACGATGAGCGCGACAAGCGCGACGAGGAGCGTGCGCGCGAACGCGAGAAGCGGCACCAGCATCGCCGGCGCGAACCGAGTGCTGGAGCCGAAGCGGCAGCAGGCACAGGCGCCGCAGCCAAGTCCAGTTCGCCGGCCGAGAATGCGGACAATGCCACGGTGAGCGAGCCGGCGGCAAAGATCAGTGAACGCCAGCGACGCACCGTGGATTTGCTCACCTCACGCACCGGCGGCGCCTATATACCGCCGGCCAAGCTGCGCCTCATGCAGGCGGAGATCACGGACAAGGCGTCGGCGGCATATCAACGCATTGCCTGGGAGGCGCTCAAGAAGTCCATCCATGGCTACATCAACAAGGTGAACGTCACGAATATTGCGATCATCACCAGGGAACTTCTCCGCGAGAACATTGTGCGCGGCCGTGGCCTGCTCTGTCGCAGCATTATCCAGGCGCAGGCTGCTTCGCCCACATTCACGCACGTCTATGCGGCTCTGGTGGCCATCATCAACTCCAAGTTTCCGAATATTGGCGAGCTGCTGCTCAAGCGTTTGGTCATTCAGTTTCGACGCGCCTTTCGGCGCAACGACAAAATGGTTTGCATGTCCGCCACGCGCTTCATCGGGCATTTGGTCAATCAGCGTGTCGCGCACGAGATTTTGGCTCTGGAGATGCTCACGCTGCTGGTGGAGATGCCTACCGATGATTCCGTGGAGGTGGCCATTGCCTTTCTCAAGGAATGCGGCATGAAACTGACCGAGGTCTCGTCCAAAGGCATCGGCGCCATCTTCGAAATGTTGCGCAACATTCTGCACGAGGGCAAACTGGACAGGCGGGTGCAGTACATGATCGAGGTGCTGTTCCAGGTGCGCAAGGATGGCTTTAAGGATCATCCCGCTATTGTCGATGATCTCGAGCTGGTTGAGGAGGATGATCAATTTACGCATCTCATGATGCTGGACGAGGCCACCGAAACTGAGGATATACTGAGTGAGTTTTATTTTTGCTCCTAAACCTAATTTTAAGTCGATATTTTTCTAAGATATTTATAAAAATTGATTTTGTCACATTCACCTCTACTCGTGGAAAATGGTTGAAAAGCTAAGGAGTTAAAGCATGCGGTTGAGTAAAGCGATTAATTGAATTGAACAACATTTGGAAATGTGAAAAAATTATAATAAAATATAATATGAAGCCTTAAATTCATTCCATGACTAAATTTATCCACACGATTTTATCCAATTCACTTCTACTCGTGGAAAATGCGTAAAAGCTGAAGAGTAAAAGAATGCTTTTTACTAAGGCATGTAATTGAATTGAACAACATTTAGAAATGTCAATAGACGATAAAAATATAATATCAAGCCCAAGATCCATTCCATGACTAAATTTTGTTTCGTCAAATTCACTTCTACTCGTGGAAAATGCGTAAAAAACTGAAAAGTAGCAGAACGCGATTGGCTAAAGCCCGTTATTGAATTGAACAACATTTGGAAATGTGAAAAAATTATAATAAAATATAATATGAAGCCTTAAATTCATTCCATGACTTAATGCAATTCACATCTACCCGTGGAACATGCGTGAAAAGCTGAAAACTTATGAAATGCAGTTGAGTAATGCGTTAAATTGAATTGAACAACATTTATAAATGTGAATTGACGCAAAAAATATAATATCAAGCCCAAGATCCATTCCATGACTAAATTTTGTTTTGTCAAATTCACTTCTACTCGTGGAAAATGCGTGAAAAGCTTAAAACTATCTAAATGCGGTTGATTAAAGCCCGTTATTGAATTGAACAACATTTGGAAATGTGAAAAGACTATAATCAAATATAATATCAAGCCCAAGATTCATTCCATGACTTAATTTGTCCACACGATTTCATCAAATCCCCTCTTACTCGTGGAAAATGCGTGAAAAGCTGAAAACTAATTTAATTTTAATTCAAATACATTTTCTGCCTCCTCGCAGATGTCTTCAAGTTTGACGATAACTATGCGGAGAACGAGGAAAAGTACAAGGCGCTGAGCGGCGAGATATTGGGCAGCGATGCCAGCGGCTCGGGCAGTGGCTCCTCCGGCTCTGGCTCGGATTCGGACAGCGATTCGGATGGCGAGTCCGGTTCGGGCGGCGAGGCGGATGGCGAAAAGGCCAACGCGGGCGATATTATTGACAACACGGAGACGAATCTGATTGCGTTGCGTCGCACCATTTACCTGACGATCAACTCGAGTCTGGACTACGAGGAGTGCGCGCACAAGCTGATGAAGATGCAGCTAAAGCCCGGCCAGGAGGTGGAGCTGTGCCACATGTTTCTTGACTGCTGCGCCGAGCAGCGCACCTACGAGAAGTTCTACGGGCTGCTGGCGCAGCGTTTCTGCAGCATTAACAAGATCTATATACCGCCGTTCGAGGAGATCTTCAAGGACACGTACCAGACGACGCATCGCCTGGACACGAATCGTTTGCGCAACGTGAGCAAGTTCTTTGCCCATCTGCTGTTCACGGACGCGATCAGCTGGGATGTGCTGGAGTGCATACAGCTGAACGAGGATGACACGACCTCGTCGAGTCGCATATTCATTAAGATATTGTTCCAGGAGCTGGCCGAATATATGGGCCTGGGCAAGCTGAATGCCAAGCTCAAGGAGGATGTGCTGCTGGACAGTTTGGCCGGCCTGTTTCCCAAGGATAATCCGCGCAATACCCGTTTCTCCATCAATTTCTTCACCTCCATCGGTTTGGGCGGCCTGACGGATGATTTGCGTAGGTTCCTGAAGAATGCGCCCAAGGCTGTGCCGGCCATCAATGCCGAGATTCTGGCCAGCGGCAATCCGTTCAAGGATGCAGCAGCCGCGGGCGGCGGCGATGCTGCGCCCGCTGCCAGCTCCACGTCCTCCAGCAGCAGCGACGACAGCTCCTCCAGCAGCAGCAGCAGCGCCGACTCCTCCAGCAGCGGCGAGGACAACAGCAGCGATGAGGACAGCGACAGCGAATCCAGCTCCAGCTCCGAGTCCAGTGAGCCCGCCCGCAAGCGCAAGAAGAAACACAGCCAGAAGAAGAAAAAGTCCAAGAAGCAGCGCAAGGCCAAAAAGTCCAAGGATAAAAAGGAGAAGAAGAAGTCCGAGAAGTCGAAGAAGAAGGAAAAGAAAAAGTCAGCCGAAAAGAAATCGAAACGCAAGCGCAAGCACGCGCAGAGCAGCAGCTCCAGTAGCTCCAGCAGCGGCAACAATAGCGACAGCAGCTCCTCCGACGCCTCTTCCAGCTCCGCTGAGCCGCCGCAGCCCAAAATCCAGCGCAAGGTCAACAACTACAGCGGGAGCAGCAGCAAATCAAAGCCGGAGGTAACGGCGTCGCGGAGCAGGCAGCACGACAGCGACGACTTCAATCTGGAAGGACCCAATGCCTCGTCGCCGCCGCCGCCGCCGCCCGCGCGACAACAGCACAATGGACACGGACAAGGCAGGCGAGAGGCCAGCCCGGAAAGGGAGCGAGAGCGGGACAGGGAGCGAGAGCGAGAGCGGGAACGAGAGCGTCGTGGTCGAGAGGACAGTCGCAGCGGCAAACGGGAGCGGGATGGAGAACGCGAGAGAGTTCGCGATCGTGAACGGGATCGCGACAGGGACAAGGACCGGGACAGAGAACGGGAGCGGGAGCGCGAGCAAAAAAGGGAACGTGAGAGACGTGAACGTAGGGATCGAGAGCGACGCGATTCGCCCAGACGCCACCATCATCATAGACGCAGCGTGTCCAAGGAGCGCGGCTGAGCAGCTCCTGCGCTAGCTTAATTATCCATCTATGCATTTTCCCAACTAATCTGTCGAACTGTGTACAAAGAAACGATCTGAGCCCAGCAGCAACAATTGTAAATGTACAAAATATATACGAAAAAAAAAAGGAACAAAGACTTGGTATATAATTTCCATAGAAAGCGGGAAAGGTCAAGATCATGGTTGGTTACATCTATATGGTATATATATAAGAGTTTGATGAATCCGAACGGTGAGAGCTGAAAGCTGAAATTTTTACTAAAGCTTCCTTCTGGATCAAAAGTCTAAACGAACTTGGACGGGTTTTTGGAAAACTATGGAAAATTGAAAAATGCGAACTTACTATCAGAAGCCTTAACTTAATTTATTGAGCGTTGAACTAGCAAGCGAGAAGTCGCCGGTTCCAACACAGCCATAAAATTGTGCTCTGCGAACTCGATATCAGAAGCCGTGACTTAATTTATTGAGCGTTGAACTAGCAAGCGAGAAGTCATCGGCTCAAATTCAGTAGCAAATTTAACAGAGCATATTCACATAAACAATTTGGCTAGTTTGGAGCCGGGCAACGCCGTGTAATAGACATGAGAAAGCGGGGGAATATGAACCAAGGTCGAGTAATTGGTTCGAACCAACCTGGAAAAGTTGGTTCAGAAACCGAAACCGAATCGAGATTTGCAGAGCTCTTTTTAAAATCGCTAACTCTTAGAGTCTTCCAACATCTGGGAATGTTCTTGATTATGAAAACTAAAACTATTCGGCGGCATATAACAGGATCTACATTGCCCATTTCAAGTCTTGCTTTTGGAGAACTCAGAGATTGAATGCCAATCCTGATTAAGAATTAATATATGGTTCATGAGATCCAAGACGATTAAAAATATGTACAAATTGATATAAATATATAAAAATAATATAATATATATATATAATATATATTAATAGAACAAAATGTGCATATTTATAAAAAAAATGTCAAGAGTTGCGATCCTTATAAATATCGTGCGGCAAATTTGTAATAGCTCTCGATTTGCTGCTGGCTGAGCGAGGACTTTTGTCTGGCCAAAACCGTTTCGAAGTCCTGCGTTTCTATGTGAGTGACATCAAAGTCTCGCTGGAACGCCTCGATGGCGGCCTCATTGCACAGATTGCACAGATCCGCGCCGGAGTAGCTTTCGGTGCGTGCCGCAAGCTCCGACAGCTGCACGTTGGCATGGAAGGGCATGCGACGGGCGTGCAGCTGCAGCAGAGCCAGACGTGAGGCCAGGTCCGGTGCGGGCACGTGAATGAGCTTGTCAAAGCGTCCGGGACGCAGCAGGGCATCATCCAACATATCCGGACGATTGGTGGCCGCCACGACGAGTATGTGCTGGAGACTGCTGCCGCTGCCGGCGCTGACAATGCCATCCATTTCGGTGAGCAGCGTGGACAGTATGCGCAGTTGGACGCTGCTGTTGCCGCTGCCGCTGCCAACCGTGCGCCGGCCCACGAGCGAGTCGATCTCGTCCAGAAATATGAGGCAGGGCGCATTTTTGCGCGCCGTATTAAAGATTTGCGTTATGAAGCGCTCCGCACAGCCCACGTAGGGTGAGTAGACCTCTGCCGCGGATGTGGCTATGAAGGTCATGTGCGCCTCCTTGGCCAAGCACTTGGCAATTGTCGTCTTGGCGCAGCCGGGCGGACCATAAAGCAGCAGGCCCCTGGGCAGGCTCAGGCCAAAGCGCGCATGCGCTTCGCTATGCTGCAGTGCAGCCAATACGGACACCTGCAGCGTGCGCTTGAGCGCAGCCATGCCGCCAATGGACTCGAAGCCCGCGGCAAGCTTCAGGATACGCACATCCGTGGCACGCGAGGCGCTGGGCTGGCACTGCAAAAGAGATTGTTTTAATAGGCGCTCGAAATCGTGGGCTGTGGCTGGGTGGAGGTGAAGCATTTGCTGTTGCAGCTGGCGCAGCAGCAGCGTCAGATCGGCGATCACATAGCCCTGCGTCTGCTGCGCCAGGTAATCGAGCAGGCCAGGTGTGAGCAGCTCCAGGTGTGTCGGCTGCTCCTGCTGCCAGAGTCCGGCGAAGAGTTGGCGACGCTGCTGCTCCGTGGGCATATCGATGGTCAGTTCGTGGCCAAAGCGACCGGCGCGACGTGCGTGTGGATGCACTGCATCCGGCGAGCCGCTGCTGGCCAGGCACAAGATGCCACCATGCCGCTGCGGCAGCTCATCAATCAGCCTGTAGAGCTGTGCGGCAATGCGCATGGCATTGCCCGAGTTGCGCGCATCCGCGCTGCTAGTTGCCGGACACAGCAGCTCCAGATCCTCCAGCAATATGACAACCGGCCGCTGCGGGCGCAGGCGCTGCTGAAAAGTGTGCGCCGCTTGAAAGATGCGTCGCAGTTCCGACTCCGTTTCGCCCGGCTGGGCGCGCAGCACCTGCGAGGCGGTGATGTGGAAACAATTGCAGCTGTGCCGCCGCAGAAACTCCGCCAGCAGACAGCTCTTGCCGGAGCCCACGGCGCCCACGAGCAGCGCATTCAAGGGCAGTCCTCGAAATTCTGCCCTTTGGGCGCTGCGCAACAGCTGCTCCAGTGCCTGCAGTGGCGCCTCAAAGCCGTAGGGTTGATAGCGCTCCAGGCGCGGCAGGCACGTGGCCGTCGCCAGACGCACGTCCAGAATTCGCAGCGGCGTCTCGTGCGTCAGCTGAAAGCAGCTGCGGCACGTCAAGTCCATGCCCTGAACTTCGCTTATCTCAATGCTGGCAATGCCCAGCTCCAGCAGACGCGCATGCTGCACGGCGCAGCCTTTGATCAGCTTGAGGTGGCGCAAAAAGATGCGCACATCCTGCTGCAGTTGCTCCAGCGCGAGCTGCGGCCGCTGCAGCAGCCGCTCCGTAATGCTGACCGTGCAGGCCACCCACTGCACCACGTTTGTAGCCAGAGTTAGGGACTCCAAGCGGCAGAGGCGTTGCTTGTTGGCCATGAAGCCCGGCGACGCCACCACAGTGTCCACAAAGCAACAGGTTTCGGCGGCCGCGCGCTGCGCCGGACGAGCAACGACGTAGCTGCCATCATCTAGCAGAAGTTTGCACCAAGTGCCAGTCCAGTCCAGCTGCTCGGGTATATAACAGCGCTGCGGCTCAAGCTCGCAATTGTCCAGCAAGTCAAGCGGCAATATCAACAAATCGGAGCACATGCCGCAAGGTGGAATATAAGCATGTGGTGAAAAACGCAAAACTCACCTCTTGGCGCCATGTAAGCAAAATTCACTCAAACTCGCTTTTTGAAACGAAATATACCATTTAGCTGCAACTATAATTTACTTTTCTACGGCCACTTAAATTGTGCAGAGTTTACGTACCCTTCTCCATGCTTACGCTCAAAATATATATTAGCACGAAATATTATTTAAGCCAAATTCAATGGAAGACATGCATAGTTAAAAAAATGTATCACTTCGTAAATAACATCCAGTCAGGCCAAGTAACATATTTGTTACATTTATAGCACATAATTCACTCATTTGCAAGTCAACTCACAAATTAAGGCCTTTAAATGCAGCAAATAATACAATTTGTTTTCAGCAATTACGGACATTACATGCAATTTTAGTTCGCTGCAAACAACTGCGGCTCAACAGTTGCGCTAACTGAACGTAGTGCAAAGCACAGCTGACGATAGTCTAAGAAATCAACGCTGTATCTAATTGCTAGCCAGTGGCAACGCCAAATGCGCAGAGTTGCTGTTAATAGAAATTTACAGCTGGCAACTCCCTTTTCGCATAAGTGTCGCCTGGCGTGAACACGCGGATTTTACTTCGTGGATTTTTCAATTGTTAAATAAGGTAAATATGCTGGCCATCCAACTGTAATTGTATGCCACAATGGCTAACAACTGCCCATTGAACATTATGCAGCTGCCGATATGACGAAGAAGCGCCGTAATGGTGGACGCAACAAGCACAATCGCGGCCATGTGAAGCCCGTGCGCTGCACCAACTGCGCCCGCTGTGTGCCCAAGGATAAGGCGATCAAGAAGTTTGTCATCCGCAACATTGTCGAGGCGGCCGCTGTGCGCGACATCAGCGAGGCCAGCATCTGGGACACCTATGTGCTGCCCAAACTCTACGCCAAGCTCCACTACTGCGTCTCGTGCGCCATTCACTCCAAGGTGGTGCGTAATCGTTCGCGCGAGGCACGTCGCATTCGTACCCCGCCCGTGCGCTCCTTCCCCAAGGATATGGCGCGCAACAACCAGAATAGGAAGTAAATGCGTTAGCAAAAGGCGGCTTGCTTATAGAAACATCATCAACAACAACAACAACAACAGCAACTACAACAACAACAATCCACACACACACTATTGTAAAGTCTAGGTACGATTCTGGGATGAACTGCACGCAATCGGGCAACGTCCGGCGTGGCCAAATATAAGCATTCGGTTTTTTAAACAATTCCAAGGATTCATTTCTGGTAACGGGCTGTGCTCGCTGGCGCAGAAATGACGCTCCAGTGGGCGGGGCAAGGAGTAGGCGCTTCCGGTTGCCCGTCGTCCGTCCGTCTACAGCTGCCGGATGCGTTATGCATTTAGTCGTGTGTGATATCTCATTTCCGGCTGTGGCAGCCTTGATTTTTGCCAGGTTTTTGCACACCTCACACATGTGCGCAGGCTGTTCCCGCACCATGGTACTCTGCACAGTGGTTGCAACCGGCGCACAAATTTTGAGGTTAGGTAAGTTTTTTAAAAATCATTTTCGGCGATTTGATGCCTGGGCTTGTCTTTAAGTTAAGGAAAGCTGAACAAAATGAAAATCGTAAATTTGTAAAGCCAACACACACACATACACCCGGCAAACACGCGCGCGCCTGCTCAGCGCTCAGTGTAATTTGTAATCGTTGTTTATAAAGCGCCACCAAGCGGCGGGTGGCTTAAGTAACAAAAACCTGCCGCAAGTGTAGCATACCGTAAGCTGCCGCAACTGTGGCATACTTTCAGGCGGCAGCCAAAAGAAAGCAGAGAGAACAGAAGAAAAAAATGTATTGCATGCTGCTTTTTGGCATAAATTTTGCGGAAAACGTGAGCGCAAAGGCAAATGAGTTTGGCTTCTTGTAGTTGAGTGTGTGTGTGTGTGTGTGTGTGTGTGGGTGGGCCATGTGTGTATGTGTGTGCGCGCGTACTTCCGCTTCCTGTTTACCCCTTTCGGGCCGCACTCTTGAAGTTTTTGTGCTTGTGCAGCACTTTGTTTCGCCCTCTGCCACAGTAGCGCACGTTAAATTATTGTTTTCGTTTTGCTAGGCAAATAAAACGTAGACATAAGCAGCTGCCGTTGATCATTTAGCATAAATTAAAGCGAGCAACAGCAAACGGAATCCTAATGGAGGTTATGACAAGTGCCCCCCCCCAGAGTTAAATATAATATTACCAAAAAACTTGACTTCAGCACATTTTTACCAAGAACAACATGCACTGAATAGGTACACATGTATATGTGTATGTGTATTACAAATGTATATGGTGAGATTGACGGGCTCATTTAGAGGGATAGAAGGAAGGATGGATAGAAGCATAGACAAACACACGGACGGATACACAGATAGACGGACAGACAGACAGAGAGCCAAATAGATAGATAGATAGATCAGATCGATAGATAGATACATAGATAGATAGATAGATATATAGATATATATTTAGATAGATAGATACATAGGCAGATATAAAGATGAATAGATATATAGATTGATGGATAAATCGATAAATAGGTAGATAGCCAAACAGGCTGACAGACAGACAAACATTGACAGATAAGCAGACAGATATATAGTCAGAAAGACAGATATAGGTAGATAGAGAGACAGACTGCCAGACAGATTGACAGACACATTGACAGACAGATCGACAGACAGACAAGCAGATAAACAGACATACAGACAGACTTACAAACAGACTGACAGACAGATAGAGAGTTCGATTCACATTGACAGACAGATTGACAAGCAGATTGACAGACAGATTGACAGATATATCAATGGAAAGATCGACTGTCATATAGACAGACAGATTGACAGACACATTGACAGACAGATCGACAGACAGACAAGCAGATAAACAGACATACAGACAGACTTACAAACAGACTGACAGACAGATAGAGAGTTCGATTCACATTGACAGACAGATTGACAAGCAGATTGACAGACAGATTGACAGATATATCAATGGAAAGATCGACTGTCATATAGACAGACAGATTGACAGACACATTGACAGACAGATCGACAGACAGACAAGCAGATTAACAGACATACAGCGAGACATACAAACAAACTGACAGACAGACTGACAGACTGAAAGACAGATTGACAGCTAGATGAATAGATAGATCGACTGTCATATTGACCGACACATTGACAGACAGATTGACATACAGATTGACAGATAGACAAGCAGCCTACAGACACACAGCCAGACATACAAACAGACATTCTATTAGACTCACAGGCAGATAGACAGATCGACAGTCATATTGACAGAAAGGTTGACAGACACATTGACAGACAGATTGACAGATAGACAAGCAGATTAACAGACATACAAACAGACATTCTAGTAGACTGACAGACAGATAGACAGATCGACAGTCATATTGACAGACAGATCGACAGACAGACAAGCAGATAAACAGACATACAGACAGACTTACAAAAATAGATAGATAGATAGACAGATCGACAGTCATATTGACAGACAGATCGACAGACAGACAAGCAGATAAACAGACATACAGACAGACTTACAAACAGACTGACAGACAGATAGAGAGTTCGATTCACATTGACAGACAGATTGACAAGCAGATTGACAGACAGATTGACAGATATCAATGGAAAGATATCAATGGAAAGATCGACTGTCATATAGACAGACAGATTGACAGACACATTGACAGACAGATCGACAGACAGACAAGCAGATTAACAGACATACAGCGAGACATACAAACAAACTGACAGACAGACTGACAGACTGAAAGACAGATTGACAGCTAGATGAATAGATAGATCGACTGTCATATTGACCGACACATTGACAGACAGATTGACATACAGATTGACAGATAGACAAGCAGACTAACAGACACACAGCCAGACATACAAACAGACATTCTAGTAGACTGACAGACAGATAGACAGATCGACAGTCATATTGACAGACAGGTTGACAGACAGACAAGCAGATTAAAAGACAGATTGACAGACACATTGACAGATAGACAAGCAGACTAACAGACATACAGCTAGACATACGGACTGACAGATAGATCGACAGTCATATTGACAGACAGGTTGACAGACACATTGACAGACAGATTGACAGATAGACAAGCAGACTGACAGACATACAGCTAGACATACAAACAGACTGACAGACAGATCGACAGCTAGATAAACAGACAGATCGACAGTCATATTAACAGACAGGTTGACAGACACATTGACAGACAGATTGACAAATAGACAAGCAGACTGACAGACATACAGCTAGACATACAAACAGACTGACATACAGATCGACAGATATATCAATAGACACATGTTTAGATCAATCCCTAGCTAGTTCTCCTGATCAAAATGGAGCTCCTTTCCGCTGCCCCAAAGATAAAACTCTTCAATCGCATCAGATTAAGTCCAAATTATTTGACTTGCACTCATGTAAACATATATATATATCTTTTTTTTTAGCTCAACACACTTTAGTTTCTCATTCGTGGCAGCTTTCGGTGCGGCTGCGCGCATGCTCCAAATTGTGGCCAAGAACGCCGCGAAGCTGGAGCTGTGCATAGCTGCCCGCGTAGACATCGTTGCATAGATGCGACAACGGCAGCTCCACGTCGCTTCTGGCCGTCTTTATGGCCAGCTCCATTTCATCGCGCACATTGCGCTCAATGCCGAGCAGCTGCGTCTGTGTGAGCAGCGACATCTCCAGGCAGATCTTGCGGAAGCGTTCAATAGCATCCTGTCGCTGGCGCACCTGTTGCACCTCCTCGCGTGTGCGATAGCTGGTGCCCGGATCGGACATCGAATGGCCCGCATAACGATAGGTGCACAGCTCCAATACGAGCGGACCGCGCTGCTGGGCATGCTCGATGGCAAATCGTGTCGCACTGCGCACGGCCAGCAGATCCTGCCCGTCCACCCAGACGCCGGGCAGATAATCGCCGCGCGTATAATAGTTCGTATTGCTGGAGGCGCGCCAGGCGCTGGTGCCCATGCCATAGTTGTTGTTCTCGCAAACGAACACGATCGGCAGCTTCCACAGCTGCGCCATGTTGTAGCACTCAAAGATCTGGCCCTGATTGGCGGCGCCATCGCCGTACAGAGCAAAGCAAACGGCGCCGTTTTTGCGATATTTGTTGGCCAGCGCAATGCCTGTGCCGAGCGAGATCTGGGCGCCCACAATGCCGTTGCCGCCATAGAAATTGGGCGCATACATGTGCATGGAGCCGCCCTTGCCCTGGGCACAGCCGCTCGCCCGGCCCGTCAGCTCGGCCAGCACGCCAACGGCCGTAACGCCCATCAGATAGGCCCAGCCATGGATGCGATAGCCGGCAATTAGATTATCCTGCGGACGCAGTGCGGCGCACAGCCCAACGGCGCAGGCCTCCTGACCCGTATACAAATGACAGAAGCCGCGCACCAGCTGCTCCCGGTACAGCTGCGCGGCGGCCGCCTCCAGGCGCCGGATGGCCACCAGCTGGCGATAGTAGAGCGCCGCCTCGCGTTCGGTGAGCGCCACCAAAGTATCGGGTCCCATTTCCAGTTTGTGCAGCTTGTAGTCTAGCATTAGGCGCACCAGACGCACCTCCTCCACGTGCGGCACAGCTGTTTGGCTGGCGGCTAGATCGTGTCCTGGCGCCAGTGGGCGTGGCAGCTGGGCAGCCGTAAAGCGCACAGAGCGCTGCAGCAGCCGATTGATCTGCAGCTGCAAATGCTTCGACATCGCCGCGAACGTCAGTCGATACATCCTTCTAGTCCTTGCGTGTGTTCACTTGGATTTTAATTGAAATGTTATGCTAGCTAAATTGAAAGGCTTGACGGGTGAGTTTTAAATTTACATACATAAATGACAATTTGGGCCAGGGAGTAATATTTGAATAATTATCGAAACGAATATCCTAGCTATAATTCGATTTTATATTATTTACAATTCCTCTTTGTGGCATATCCTTAAACTATTCACGGGCTGCTTTCTAACTCATTCTCTCTCTCTCTCTCTCCCTCTCTTTCTCTTCCTCTCTATACCTCTCTCTCTCTCTCTCCCTCAATTACTACGTTCTTATAATAGATTTAATTTGATTTGCAATTCCTCTTTGTGGCATATCCTTAAACTATTCACGGGCTGCTTTCTAACTCATTCTCTCGCTCTCTCTCTCCCTCTCTTTCTCTTCCTCTC